CCCCAAAACCCCAAAACCCCAAAACCCCAGAGCAAAACTTTTGGTTGAACTCCCAGATAATATTTCTAAATAACTCCATCCATAATTTTCTGTTTGATATCAAGTGCTTCAAGCGTAGCTGACTTAACAAGTCTGAACTCAGCAAGTTCATAAGGAGCAAGACCATGGAAATGATCTGGTTTGGAAGACTCAAGCAGGTATTCACAAGTCTATACTTTAGCGGAGCTGTACTTACCTCAATTTCATATCTTTGATCTTCTAAAATTGTCTTTGAGTCATCTCACTTGAATTTATGAGAACTCTGTGGTGATCTCTTTAAAGTGTCAATAAACTTGTTTTTAAACAATCCTTCTTCATCATGATAGATAGTCTTGTTAAGAGATAAGTAGTTGTTAAAGCGATTTCTAAGGATCATCACTACTTCATATTCATTAACCGTGCTCAAAATAGTGTGTCTAGCAAGTTTGATATCCACAACATCTATGGCTCCATGTAACGTTCCTTGATTCTCATCAGAAAGATGGAAAATGTCTTCAAATATAGTTCCTGAAGACGGAAGTTTCCTAGAAGCATCGAGGCTGATTCCTAAATCTTGATAGAGGAAAAGTGGAGAATTGATAACGCTTCCTGCAAAGTTTCTTTTATAAGCCCCGTCATCTTTATCCCTAGAAATATTAGCACTATCTTACAGTCTAAACATGAAGGAGGTATAAGTGGTGCGAGGGTCTGAATACAGCTCAAATATTCCTTTATTGTCATTCGCTTCAATATTTCTAAAGACCATAAAATCTATCTGATTCTCTTGACTAAGTGTACATCCAATTGGGTTTGAATTTGCCCATGAAAACTGATGAAGTTCTTCTTTACTCCCATTATGGTAAGCCTCTAAAAGCATTCCTCCGTTGACTCAAGGAGACGTAAAGTATCCGTATAACTCATGTACTGACTCATGTTCAATGTTGATATTTTTGTCAAATATAGGTCTCTGAACTAACTTCATAGAGTCATCAACATAAGTTTTAAATTTAGAGGTGTGGGAATGCTTATCCTTCTTGATACCAAAACTGATCTCTATTGCCTCTGAAGTAAATCAATGTATTTCTAGAAAGAACTGTTCTAGATTCTCTTTGAGTCCAACATGATCTATAGAATAAGTTTTCAAAAATCTAGTATTGTTCGCATCATGTTCAACTTGTATAATACACTTCAGATTAGGAAGTTCATAATACCACATTTTTACATTCCCAGTATCGATAGTGATCCTCTCTGACCTTGGGTTATACAAATAAAATCCTGATCTATAACATTGCCATCCCAATTTTACCTTGTTGATCTGGTAGAAAATGCTGTAAACCTCTCTGTAAGACCACTCTTCATGTTATTTGTAAGATTCTCAATACTTCTAAGCCTTCCGTCACTTCCAATCTCTAATTTTATAGCATTGTTCTTGATAGTTAAATCTTGAACTTTAATGGATGGTTCAATCTTTGTACTTAAACGATAGCCACTGCTTTCACATTGGGATTTCTCTGTGCTACAAGGAATTATGTACAGATGGATATCACTAAAAGGAGGAAGCTCAACATGAACAAACAATTTTCTGACTGTCTGTGTTTGGTGACTCATGGTGTCCATATCTTGCATATCAGCGTAAGCGCCTTGAACATTTTTAAACTCAGAAGTCTTGTTGAGACTGATTGTATCAACAAACACACTATACATGTCTTTTTCTCCAAGTGAAGAGCTCAATGTAATATTTATCACCTCTGATCGAGCATCAGCAGTAGGATTAACTACAGTGTAATGGTCAAATTTTTGACTCCCAAGCTTCTCTGTTGCATTAGAAAGAATTTCATGCACAGATCTTTCAGCTTCAACTTCAAAAACTTGGTTGATAATCTTATATGCTCTCGATAGATAATCATTGGACTCTTTAAGGAGATTATAATAATCCTGTTCTGTAATTTTAGTATGAGTCCCTGTGATAGCATCATGATGCATCATTATTGCCCATCTTTGTTCAGCTTCGTTAATTATGTTGTTGATCATCTCAATTCCTACTTCTGTGTTCGAATTAAAATTAACACTCCCATTGTTGGCCTGAAGAGCTTTGATAGTTAACAGGGCTTTAGTGCTTTCTGTAAAGAATTAGAGAATGGATTACCAAGATTATTAAATGTATGCCTTATCCATCTCTTCATATGCAGTCTAGTTGAGTAATATCCTGTCCAAAAGTCATTCCAGTTCCAGTTTGGCCAAGTCTCTTGATATGGCATGAAATCACCTTTAAAAACTCCAAAGTCGAGTTCCATTGCTTTTAAGTCTTCAAAGTATTTATAGATATTGCTGTATTTGATTTCCACGTTGTATCCCTTAGATTTACCTTTCTTTTTCAAATACTTTTTCAGATCATCAAAAGCATGAAAGACTTCGCTGGCTTGTTGGAATGCAAAGTCATCTCCTGCTGGGACCATAACATGGTATTCTTTGAGTGAATCATCAGATATTCTAAAATTTAGAAAATATTTTTACGTTTTAAGTTCATTGATGACTTTTTGAATCTTTTGGTCCCAGAATTTACTACTGTAACTCTTCTTATTTATATCGATAAAGCCTCGATCTAGTCTTGTTTCAGGAACAGTGTAGAAGAACTGAAGAATATGAGCCAAAATCCTATCTTCTTGCTTGAACTCATCTACTTGGTGGCCTTGCCATCAAAAGTTATACCCTTCTTTCTTCTCCAATATATCTTTGAAATCATTGGATATTCTGTTTTCAATAAAAGCGCTAAATCCAAGCTTATGGAGCACTGAAGCAGTAAGAGCTGTACTTCCAAAGGGATCGATTTGCCATCCAATATGAGGCCTCACATTAAAGGTTCTCTTTAGGAAATCTAGGCCAAGCCTCATCTGTGCTATGGTTTCTTTATAAGAAGGAAGTGCTTCGTCATTAATGACCCAACCTCCATTAATAAAAATGAATCTTTCGTCAGCAACTAATTTCTTGACACTCTCTCTTGTACTGCTATCTTGGTCTTGCCACCATCTGTATAAGAAGGCAATGTCTGCCCAATGGAATGTGTAGTCTTTAGATTCTATAAGAAAGAGTTCAATAAAGTGTAATTTAAGGTAAGTTCTGACGTAAAAGGATAATACTCAAACTAGAAGAAGAAATAGCTTTCATTCTATTATTTTAGCAACCACATCTTGTATCATTATTAGAGATTAGGAGGTATCATCCTATGCATGATCAAGATCCTAGTTGCATATATTTCCATTTTTGGCAGTCGAAATAAAAGATTTTAAGGCTTACCTTCCAAAGCCTTAACTACATTTGTTAAGATATCTTTTGTATTCTCTTGATAATACCCCTCGAAACTCTTCAACCAGCCTGCATCGTTGTGTGAGTGAGGTATTAAATGTACAATGACTTTCTTTTTTCCTTCAGATATTGTTCAGATAAGAAAAAGGACAATTAAAAAGTGAAGATATGTCTTCATTTTCTGGCAAATATTAATAATAGTGTTTAAATTCAAATTTGAGCTCCCTAAGTGGGGTTTTGGGGTTTTGGGGTTTTGGGGTTTTGGGG